AGAGGGGGGTAATAGCTAAAAGGGACAAGGGTCTATGTTCAGCAGATTTTTGGACACTTGGCTGTACAGATCTCCAGAATTTACTTGTGTTGTGTAACAGAAACTTTGTACCCTTTGATCAGTAATTCTCCATTTTCCTCTCCCTCAGCCACTAAAAAACCACTCTTTCACTCTCTGGTTCCATTTATATGATTATATTAAATTCCTCATAAAAATGGGATCATACAGTTTCCTTCTGTGACCTACTTGCTTTACTTAGCATAATGTTTCCTAGGTCCAATCATATTGAGAAAGGCAGGATTTCTTTTTGTAAAGACCAAGTCATATTGTATTGTACATATCCACTTCAGTTATCCACCCATCAGTGGCCATGCAGAGTGTCTGTATCTCAGCTACTGTGAATGGAACTGCAGTAAGCCCATGAGATGCTCAGATTTTTAGACAGAACCAACACTGAGTGAGCACCTTCATGTGCCATGTCTGTGCTCTCACAAACCTAATCCCATTTAATCCCCTCCCTACCCTGTTTGAAAGCATGTGCTGACTCAAAGAAACCATTCTCAACTGGGTTCATCTTATGGTGTGTGCACAATGTCACATCCAGGCCACAACAGGTAAGAGCATCTCCCCAAGGGTAGGAAGAAGCCTCCTGAAATGGGATTACCAGCCTCAGAATCTGGTATTTTTAGCTGACCAACACACAGGGCTCCAGATTACTCATGGCTAGTGAGCTGCATTTAGACAACGGAGAGATGTTTCTAACGAATCCTTCAAACCCAGTCTGCTGGGAAGAGGGCCTGCTGCAAAAACCTTCATGGTTCCTAAACATTGGTAATCTTTGCATTTCCCGTCTAACAATCCTCCTGGCCCCTGATTATCTGATATTACTTTTAGAAAGAATGACAGAGAGTTCCTGAGGTTGAAGGTGGGGAGCAAGACACAAGGAAAATCCATATTCTTTAACTTAATCAAAGTTTGTAGAGTAGGCAGAATCCAAATCCAAACCACATTTTCCGAAAAGATTTTTCCCTCTTAATTCTGAAATCCATGTGCATTATATGAGAAATCCAATCCGTATGTTTCTTACTCATTTACACTTAACTCATCAAAGCATTTCCTCTAAAGAACTATTTGATGTCCAAGGAGACTTTAAAGACTTTTTTTTCTTTCAATGAGCCTTTGTTCTTAGAAATAAAGAAGGTGCTGAAGTTGTATAGGCAAAGAATAAACGAATTTGAACCCCGGAAAGGTTAAAAGTCGTTTCAAGTAGGTTCTATATTTGGAAGAAACAACTTAGAGAATGAGCTCCTTTTCTTGTAAGGATCTTTTTAGGAGAAGCCTCCTGAGGGATGTTTGCATTTTCATGCCAAAACAAGTTCCTGTAGAGCTGATGATAGGTAGCAGTAGGTGGATAAAGTCCTTTTCCTTAATGCACTTGGAGGTGGTCTTCAGTGTTTGGTAAGCAGAGACCACACCTCTGGCTCAGCTTTTCTTCAGTGTCAGGTTGGCCAGCAGGGTCTCGCAAACACACTTTTATGCATTCTCTCTGCACCACCCAAAGCAGTGATGTCCACTTTACAGATGTGGAAGGAGATATACAAAAGCTGGCTCCCCTGCCTGTGGACAGTTAATGAGGGATGGAGCCTGCGTAGAAACCCAGTGCAGGGTTAGGTCAAGAGAGGACTGGATTGCACAGATCTCGGTTGTATTAGGCTGCACTGCTTCCTCGTAGATAAAGAAAGAGGCAGAAGGTCCTGGTGGAGGCTTCTAGAACCTGGCAGAGGACGATTGGGCCCAACCCTAGATAACAGAATGCTGACATCTTGGAGCATTTGCTCCAGTTTTCCCTGACTGTGATCAGTGGTGATGGACTGGGAATGGTGAAGATCAGAGTCAGAAGCAGGGACCACGGAGTGCAAATAGAAGGAAGGGGGCGACACTGCAATCAGGGTGAGTGAGGGACCATGGCAGTGAATAAAATGGGTTTGGTGATGCTACTGTGAGGAAGGGTCAGGGATCAGGATGGAGGAGAAAGAAAGAAGTCTCTGGTCTTGAGAAACCTTCAGTGACATTGGGTCCAGGATTTTACAGAAGGGCATGGGCTTGAAGGGAAGATGCTGAGTCTGTTGTGTTAGAGCTGCTGGGCGAACCTCAGAGCCCTGGCTGGACCAGAGGAGGAGCCTTATGTGACGTCACTGGAGGACATGGTGGGACTGATGGATGGCTTGCTTCCAGGCAGAGAGCAGAGAAGCTCAGGAAACACAGCCTGTGGTATCACCAGACTGTTTCCCACAACACGGCAGGGCTGCTTCTCAGGGGGTCTCTAATGCCTCGGGAGTGAGGGCAGGGGTGCTGGGAAATAGATATAGATTGTCCCCATGACTAGGGATGCTGCTGGGCTTTCATGGGAATGCAGAGTACTGGGCACGCAGGGTGTACTGCAGTGCACAGGGGCCTCCCCACCATGGAAAACCACTCAAGTCCTCTCATTTCTAAATATCCCACTGGCCATTCATTTAGGTAAAGAAATCTATTTAGACGTCTTGGAGCCTAGAACCTAATTACAGTTTCTTTATATATCTATATATTTTGCTCCACTTACATTTGTACTCCTTTTCACAGGAATGTAACCGTAGACAGAGAAAATGTACTTCCTTTTATTGGAACTTCCCTGACTCATTCCATTTTAGAAAATCACATTCAGGTGTCACTGCCTTTCCTCAGATTCGAGTTCTTGTTCTGTGTTCATAGCCATCCCATTAATGGTGACTATGCATGCACTAAGCTCTCCTGTCTAACCATTAACTGAAATAGGTTCTTTTATCCTCTTTATGATAGTGGGATCATTATACCATTTTGCAGAAAATATATGTGTTTGAGTTACATTAGGCATGGAATTCATTTCAGGAGAGTGAAAAAGTTGTCAGGAATTAATTGTAAGGCAGGTTGGGACTCACAGGTTCTAGGCAATCACCATCAATAGAACTGTGAGACACAAATAAAACTTTAAGTTTTTCTTGATAGCCACCATACAAATAAAAGAATGGAATATTATTCAGCCTTCAAAAGGAAGGAAAAGCCAGGTGTTGTGGCACACACCTGCAATCTCAGCACTCTGGGAGGCTAAGGCAGCAGGATCACAAGTTCAAATTGAACCTGGGCAACTTAGTGACTGTTGCAAAAATAATAAAATAATAATAATGTTTAAAGGCCAGGGGATGTAGCTCATTGCAAGGGGCCTGGGTTAAATTCTTATTACTGCCAAAAAAAAAAAAAAAAAAAAAAGGCGGGAAGAGTGAGTTCTGTGGAATGCCAGAACATAGTTGGTGCTTGATGATATTATACTAAGTAAGCTAAGCAAAAGAAGCCAGTCACACGATGACTTCACCTAGACCAGGGGTCTAAAGCAGCCACATTGGAAGAAACACAGTGGAAAGCGGGTAGCCAGGATGGGTGGGGGTGGAAAGCCAGGCACCATCGTTTCATTCACCTTCTGCTCCAGACTGTGAGACAGACACTCTGGAGATCCTCTCCACAGCAGTGTAAACCTACCTGCCTCTACTGAGCTGCACTCTTAACAGTGGTTTTGCTGACACTTTTTATGTTACACGCTTTTTAACCTTTGTAACCACAATGAAGGATTAAAAGGGATGGTGAAGTTAATTTCAAAACATTTAATCCAAAATATCCAACATGCTATCATTACACTGTGCAGTCAATGTAAAATTACCAGTGAGTCATTTCCCATTCCTCTGCTGGTACAAAGTCTGAAGTCTGTGTGCATTTTACACCCACAGCAAGTGTCAACCAGGAACGGCCACATTCCTAACACTCATTTCTAGCACTGCCAGAGCCACCTGTGGCTTCAAGTCACTCCAGAGCTGGACAGCAAAGCTCCAGTTAACAGCTGACACTTGGTGTGGATGCTAAGTGCCGGGCCCCACTGTGGGTCCTGGGCATAGCCTGACTCTCCAGCCCCATAAGGGCGGCCGTGAGTACTGGGGCCTGTGGTCAGGCCACACCGTGTGGCTGCGGGCAGGGCTGCACCAAGGTGCTCTGGCTCCTCCAGAGCCCCTGCTTATCCCAAAGATTGTGTTGTGTTGCCCTGCCGGGCCCCAGGGTAGTAGGCAGGAGCCTGGGCATTGAGAATCTAACAGGCACTCCCGCTAGCATCTTTCCTTGCTTTCCTGGGGAGCCCAGTAGAGGCACAGTCAGGCCTCCCAGCAGCAGAAGAATCCTGTGTTTGCATCACTGTCCTACAATGGTCTCTATTCTCTGAATTTCCAGAGGGGAGGTGGCGGGCCTGGAAAATCAGGACAAAACACAGGTGTGGCAGAAAGACTTTCTCCCAACACACACATCTAATAAAGACTTGCTACTAGGACCTTGCTGGTGAATTGCCTGCATTCCAATAACTTTTTCCTCCCGAGTTTTCCTTAACAAAGACAGATTTCTTCATTTCCTGGGGCTCCCTCCGGATTAGACTGACAACTTCCTCATTAATTATCAAATTATGCCCCGTCATAAAATGATTGCATTTGCTTCCTACCTAAACACCTCCCCTCAAGTATGAAAAGTCTCATTTAAACTAATATGCTTTTAACTTGCTTAATTTCAACACCTCCGTAGAGGGTACCTAATGAGCTGATTCCTTGCCTGGCTGGTCCCTTGGTCCTTCCTCGCGTTCTTTGTTCCAACACCAATTTTCATTTTGCAGCACAGGAAAGGGGAGGACTCACCCCCTGGAGTCAGACTCTTGGCCCTTGCCATTCTTGAGTGATGGGTGACCTTGAATCTGCATCCCCTACAAAACTGAGGCCCCACTTGCTGCTTCTAGAGATGTGGAAATTGCCTACGAGTGGGACCACAGGAGAAAAGCAGCCTCCCAGTTTCGACTGGGCAGCTTAATGAGTCAGATAATTACACCCAGACTCCCTTTACAGGAGCCTCTTAATTATTATTTAATAAAGAGATGATTCCAGGCTGTGACCCGCAAGCCTGGCTGCGTTCTAACCACCGAGCTGCAGAAGTGCTACCTCCCAGACTGTGTCCTCCTCTGGCCTGGAGACAAAGGTGCTTTGAGGGACCTCTCAGCTTCGTGTTATGGAGAAGAGTATGTGCCAAGAGTTTTGTCCCTGGTACTGCCTTCTGCAAGGTGTCAGATGGGTCACTTCACTGGGGGGCTGGGAATCAGGTCAGTCTGTTCCTCGAATTAACCCTGATCTCATTCTCTTGGCAGCAGGCAGTAACCACAGGGCCTGCTGTCTCATGAGGGCTCGGCCCACTCACGCCAGGGCTCCCGGGAGCAGGAATTGCTGAGGTGCGTGCACTGGAGCCGGGCCATGTTTTAAGAGCTCTCAGTGCCTCTCCTTACATTTTCACATGAGTATTGATATACTTTCATTTCCATTTTACAGATCGGGACACAGAGGCTCACAGGGGATTATGCACACTTCCAAGGTCACACAACTAAGAATTGGGAGACCTGGAGTTTGAACTCCCATATCTCTAACTACAGAGCTAAAGGGCTTGGCACCTGCCCCATACTGCCAAGGATTACTGGCAGGGAGATTATGGATCTGTGCTTTCATGGCCAAAACTCTGATGGTTTCTCGGAGGATGTCCATTGTCATCAATATCAATTGTGCATCATTCTCTGACAACACAGAGAGAAAGACAGAATCACAATGGCATTCGAGTAGCTGATCCCAGTCCTCCAGGTGTAACCCTTGCATCTCCTACAATTCAGTTATATAAACCAATGATTTCCCTCTTTTACCTGAGCTAGCTAGGGTTCCATCGCCTGAGATTAAAACAGTTCTATCACAGTATGCTCTAGATTTTGGTTCAGCAGGGACAACAGGGAGTCCATAGGAATGCAGGTGTGGTATGGCATAGTGAAGGGAGTACAGGAGACAAGTTTGAGCTGGAGAGACCAGCAGGGAGCCCTTGCAGTGTGGACTATGCCAGTGGTCTGGGGGGAGGTGATGAGGGCTAGAACAGGGCAGGTGGTCACGGGCCAGTGGGGATGGAGTCAAGAGATGTTTCACTGATACACATTCTTAGACTTGGAGATTGACTAAAACTGGGGAGCTGATGGTCATGCCATTTGCTGAACAAGAAACCAAGGAGGCAGAGCAGACTCCAGGGAGGGGAGAAGAGGAGCAACGGATAATAAGCTCGACTGTGGGGTGCTGAGCGGTCCGACTGGGGGTGGCTCCTTTCAGCCAACACAATATGTTCTGGCACTGTGACGCAGGTGTGCTGTGCAGTCACCTGCTGCTCACAGCTTCAGCCTGACCCACTCATTCTAACTTGTGCCTCACACCCTGTGTTTTCTTCTCTCAGTCACCACATCTTATTTTTGCCCTTGAACCACCCTGAAGATGTGTCAGCCCTATTATCTTCCTGGTAGAACTTGGGCACCTTTCCATAGGATTCTGCTCCTCCCTGCTGCTCAGTTGAACTGAGCCTCCTTGGATAACTTCCTCCCCGGAGAGGAGGGAAAGAACGGCTAGCACTGTTAAAAACAAGCCCAGAAGCCACGCTGCGGGAAACTGGCTGCAGCCAATTTGGCTGCCTCTAATTGTTATGTTCTTTTTGCAAGTTATCTGTACCTACCATAGTCGAGGGAGATGAGGAGCATGTGTCCCGCTACCACAGTTGTCCAGCTGAAGTATATGACTATGAGTAAGCTTCACTGAAAACCTACACAGAATCCTGCCCTGCATCCAGTTACCAATAATCAGGCACAGTAACAATGTACAAGGGCTTTTTCTAAGCCCGAGGAAATCTTTGCTCTCTGTATGACACATGCCTTGCATGAGGAGAAAATATTCTAGTGGCAAAATTCAGTAGAGCTACCAGTTGGAATCAGGGAAGAGAATCAGCTGTGAAGTGTAGCACATAAGTCGTAGGCTCTGTGTACCATGAGGAAGGGAGCAAGTGGGCGAACTTCTCACACTATTCGTACAAGCAGAGAGGGTCCAGATCACATTCTAGCTTGAGCGCCACCTGCACCACCAATTAAAAAATCATGTCTGGACTTATTATACAAATAAACAAACCCTCTAGGACGGCAAGAGGGAGAGAAGAATCACAGAAACCGCCTCTGGATCATGGATGTCCAATTAGAATCTCTACGTGAATTGAACACTCTAGAACTGTGTCTTCTTGGCTACTTTGCATATTAACAAACAATTCGCAAGATACTGGGTAAAGCTGACACACATCCCTTGCTCCATGCTAAAGTATTTATTTGAAGTATTTGAAAATGAATTAGATGCAATAGCGGCCTCCTGCTGTGCTCTTGCTTCAGCACTTTTGCACTAGCTGTTCCCTGCACACAATGTCTCCATTCTCTTGCCACCCTTTTGACTGAATAACTCCTATTCAACCCAGGACTCAGCATGGCCGTTACTTCTCCCAGGAAGCCTTCCACGGTCTACTTCTCAACAAGGCAAAGTTGAGTGCTTTCCCGTAAGCTCTTTCTCATAACATCTTGTGGTGTTAACTCCTTATTTCTGAGAGTCAACTGGACTTCCCCTTTCACTTGACTGTCACTGCCAAATTCTGCATCCCTGGTGCCAAACAGAACAGGTGCTCAGTTTGTTTGTAAATCTGAATTAAATTCAAAAGACACTGATTTTGTTTCCTTCATCCCTGCTTCCCACCAGGGTATTGGGAGAGAGATCACCAATCGGTGCAGATGGCCAAAGATAAACAATTGAGGAGGAAAAAGTGAAAGAGAAAACACAGCCCCCGAGAGACTGGATGTGAGGATAACTTGGAAGTGACCAAATATAGAAGCACTTACTTTGTTTTCACTTTCAGTGCTCCAAGTCTTTGCTGTGTCCGCCCTTATAGTGAGCTTCAGAGCTGGGGTTGTGGCAAAAATTTTCTGCACTGATGGATCTCTGATTTCATCCAGAAGAGAAGACAGCCAGCAGATGCCTCATTTAACCAGTGCTTCCCTGTAAGTCGTTTGACCCAGGGTGGACAGAAGGCGCATGGGACATTGTCAGTGGGACAGAAAGCCCACCAGGAGCGTCTCATTGTCCATGGCAGTCCAGAAATACGACTTGGGCTTGATATTTGCTGAAGCTCAGCTAAACAAATGGCAGGATGTCTAAGTGGCCAAGTGCGGCTTCAGTGGTAGAAGATACACCCAGCAGAAACATTGAGATAGGAGTCATTTATTTGAAGGTACTCTTCTTCCTTTGCAACTCTGAATCTGTCATTTAAAATAAAACCAAGCCTGTATCTTCCATTGAGCACTTATTTCTTTTAAACAGATAGTGAAAAAGGAAGACAGGATGATATGGAATTTATGTCAAAATATGTAAAATGTATGCACTTGTATTACGTGGGAAATACTGTGAGCAAATGATTACTTCCCCTGGAGTTCTAGGAAAGCAACAGAAGGCTGGAGAAGGGCACAATTCCTGTTTTGCTTCTCTTCCTGTATCTTCAGTCCCAATCTCCTCCTCCCACCCCAACCCACAACCCTATATGTCACAATCACCAGGACTGGTGTTCTGGGATTCGGACACAAAGCAGGAAAAGCTCTACAACACAGAATCAAAATCCATAGTTTAGGAAGTAGATGGCAGTGGCCACTAAGAACCCCTGGGCCTGCCTTCAGCCAGAGCTGGGTGCTTCCTACAGCCTGGGTCTTGTTCTTCCCCACGAGGGAACAAGCCACCCTTTTCTGAAAAGCCCCCAAAGAGAGGTTGTTTAAATGAAGGTCACTCTATGAATAAAACGAGGTAGTCTTGTGTTCTTTGCTATGGCAGAGTCCCTTAGTCTGAGGAAAATCTATAAAGTGTCCCAAGCTGTCATCTAAAATATAGAAGGCTGGGAGGGTTGTGTAACCCAGTTTTTGAGATATTTTAGAAGGGTAACACAGAAGCCAACACCCTCCGTGAGGTCTGCGTGAGTGCCCATAAATCATCTATGAACATTTCTACCCCAAATAGATTGAATCCCCCCAAGGGCAGCCACAAGACCACACTGCATGAGTGTAGGTCCTGTCTGGTTTGCTCACTAAACAAATTATGAAAAAGTTTTTGATTTTTGGAGCTGTCTGAATTTCAGAGTTTTTTGGATCAGCGATCACAGAACTGTAATTTTCCTGAGGGGCTACTGCTCAGCTTAGGTTTTGTGTGTGTGTGTGTGTGTGTGTGTGTGTGTGTGTGTGTGTGTGTACCTAGGGCCTTCACACTAAGCTACATCCCCAGCCCTCTTTTCAAATTTTATTTTGAGATAGTATCTCACTCATTCGCCCAGGCTGACCTTGAATTTGCGATCCTTCTGCCCAGCCTCCTGAGTAGCTGGGATGATAGGCCTGTCTACTTAGCTCTTTGGAGAAGAAAGACTCTGACACTACTACCGTAACTAGGAAGCCCCAAAGCTTGAGGTCCCCACATGAAACCTGTCTCCAGCACCTCCTTCCCAGAAAAGCCCTGCCTCTGTGGCTATTTTCGGCTTCCTTCCTTTCCCTCACTCTGGCTGATCCTTCCCATGCAGAAACAAGAAAGAACAATGGCAAAGAGCTGATGCTTTGTGCTGAGAAGGAACTTGGTGGAAATCTTACCTCTAGTATCTGTCTGCTTCGAATCTCAGCCTCCTCAGCTACAACCCTACTGCAGGTATATATAAGAATTCAAAGAGACTAAAACTGCTGACATTTATGGAATGCCTGTTCTGTACTGAGCACTGTGTTAGAGTTTTCCACAGAGCATTGTTGGTCAGACAGATACCGCCCCTATTTTACAGACGAGGAAGCCACAGGTTGAGAAAGTTGACATAACAGGAGGCATATTGCTATCCGATGGAGAAGCTGGTATTGAACATTAAGGAGTCTCACTCCTATTACTCTTAACTTCCCTGCAATCATGACTCATATGAGGGTAGCTGACATGTCTTGAAGTTTCCTGAACAGAGTGAGCTCTCAGTGTACGGTAACCCTGAGGTCATGGTGATGGGGATGATGAGGGAGAAGGACTCTACCACAAGCAAAGCTGGAGGGATGTGGCTGTCCACAAGCATCTGCATAGGTGCTCCTACCTGGACCCCATAGGGGAAACACCCCACAGCTCTGTCCACATCTTTTCAAGTAGGCTCCCCGGCATGACTAAGGCCTGGATTTGGGAAGTGTTGCCAGTCTGTCCTCATGCTGCCCAACTCAGTGGCACAACCCCATTGCTGTCGTAGGTCAGGTCCTGGGGACTTGGATTTGAAGGCAGAGAGTCTTGTGCAGAAAGCTGATGGGCAAGTGCTCTAGGGAACAAAGGAAACAGGACTGAGCCAAGGGAGAACTACTCTATGAAGCAGTTCCCACAATGGCCTCTTCACCCCCACGCACAGTTCTGGGGTGAAGACAGTCAGGGATGGGCAAGATAGTCCAGAATTCCCACACTCCGGTCCCTCTCTCTCTCTCTCTCTCTCTCTCTCTCTCATACACACAAGCATATTTGTAATTTGATCTGCGTTCTGGGACTTCTTTTTATTCTTGCTTACCTCAATATTACACATCCTCTCTTTTCCATACTTTACTAAGTTCCTCCTTGGACTTGATGGGGACAGGAGCCCTAAGGCCTTCTTTGGCCCCCAGCACCCTTGGACTCTGAGTCTATGCACCCAGAAGATTCTGCCAGGCTCTTGGGCACTATTTAGTTCAGACCATGACAGCCAAGTCTTGAGCGGCTATGAACGTAGTAACAGCACCTTTAGGAAGAGAGTAAACAGACATAATGCACAGTCCCTGCTCAATGAGGGACAGAGCAGTATTTGTTTAGTAAATGAGTGCTAATATTTAGTTAGATCCAAAACCCGAAGGAAGCCATTCCAAGAACAGGCAAGTGACAACCAGGCCCTCAGGTTTTATTGATCCAGGGCTTCACCACCCAGCCCCCACCAGACAGCTGAACCTCACCTGCCTTCAGAGCTCCCCTGCAGACCTGCTCCCCAGTCCTCTCTAAGCCCCTTCTTGTCACTGCTCATCCCAGCCATCTACTCTTCATGTGACATCTACCTGACTCATCTGCTCCCAGGCCCTGGCTATCACGTCTCTGTTCATAACCACTTGTTGGAAATTCCTTTCCAATCCCAGCTGTCTGCCTTGGAGAACTGTCTACTCCCCTCTCCACCAGGATGCCTTCTGGACTCACATCTTTCTCTTGCTCTGCACATCAGGAACAGTGGCGGTGATGTCGGCAATAGGAAGAGTGGCTTCGAGGGGTGATATGAAGATGGCTCAGGAGTTGAGGGAAAATGTTGGTTGCATGGTTGAGGGATAAGAAGGCTCAAGAATGGGGTCTTCTAAGTACTTCTTGTGGAAGGGAAGACAAAGACACAATGGCCTATCATAAGTTACTCTTTGCCAAGG